TGATGGTGCCAACTTGGGCCAGTGAAGCAACATCCTCCACAACTAGACTGAAGAACAAAAACGACAGCAGCTTGTCTGTTCCCCTTCCCCCAATTCCCCAGCACTATTCCCATCCCCCCAATTCCCCAATTAAAAAAACACACACACAAAAAAAAACCACACACATTTACTAAGCTCCTACCACATGCCAGTGAGGTCCTGTAGTGACTAAGGCAGATACAGTCCCTTGTCTTCCCAGGTTCACAATCTAGCGAGGGAGACAGGCAAGTAGCCAGGCAGTGACAACCCAGTGGGGGAAATTCTAAGGCTGAGGAGCAGCGGAACAGAGGCTGTTATGGGAGTGGATCCTCACTCTGATCTGGGAGCCAGGAAAAGCTTCTCACAGAAAGTGACGTTTCAGCTGAGACCTGACGGAGGATTGGAGCAGCCAGGTCAAGGGGCAGTGTGGGAAGGGGAGTCCTCTGGGAAAAGTGAATGGCACAGGCCTGGAGACAAACAGGACCATGATGTGGTCGGGACCTGAATCAGTCCCCACGGCAGGAGCGTACCTCGTGAGGGTGGGGGGATGCTCAGTAATGTATGTTGAATGGGTGGGCGGAACCGTATTAATTTATCCGTGTAATTTTTAGGGCTTCACTCACAGTGGTGCAGCAGGGAGCATTTATTGCCAGAAGAAACGAGGAGTTTTTTTCTTAAGATTTTTCTTCCCCCATTTACAGGAACTGTATTGGTTTCATCTCCACCCAGCACAGGTCAGTAATGTTTAGTAAATAGCTGGATGAGAAACTTTTCCTCTTGGACTGCTTTTGTTTTCTTCCCCAGAGTTTCTTGGCCAAAATTTCCTTTCGGGCACCATTGACTGGCTTGGTACAGGGTGGAGTGGTGGGCTGAGTGTAATGGTGGCTTGGAGTTTGCTAACTAAGATAGAGCTAACTGAGGTGAAGACAGCTGAGGAAGGGGCCACCAGTCCAGCTTGCTGAGCTGACCATCCAGAGGTTAGGAGAGCTCTGGGGATTAGTGTAAACTGCTTTGCTGAATTGTTTGAGAATACTCAATTCTGCTATAGGAGAAAAGAAAATCAACGGAATGGATGAAACGTTTACATTAAGCATGGATGAGTTAGTTATCTGGGTGACATGTTGAGCACATAAAGTAGAGCATATATGTGTGAACATACAACAGAAAGGGATGGCAGACACCAACTATTCACGATACACTGAATATACACGAGGATGATGAGGCACTCGGGATTCGTCAGATCTTAAATCAGTTACCGACTGGTGATAGCTATTGTGGCCTCACAGGTCCTCTGCCTTAAGATGGCAAAGAAAAGCCATAGCTGCTCATCAGGATGATTGGCAAGTTACAATGGTGGCCACACATACTTGCCCTGGGTTTCTCCCACAGAGCAAGTGTTGAACCCAGGCAATTTCTGGCTGTTGCGTCCACTTCTCAAAGCTCAACTCTGGTCCTCATAACAATACTATCATAAGCACATCACTTATGGATTTTTTTTTTTTTAGCTGAGCCATCCTGCCACCTGTTGGCAGCTCAGTGGCAGCTCAGCTCGGGCTGGGAAACAAACCGGCAACCCTGTTGCTCAGAGCTCACACTCTTGACTGAGCTCTTAACCAACTGAGCCACTCGGCCTGCCACTTATGGATTTAATAAAATGGATGATTCGAGCACCTTAATTTGGTCTGTGAGCCTTTCTGTTCCATGACCTTCAGGATAGATTGCTTGGTGGTGTAGTTGCAGGTCACCATTACACCAAGGTAATTTCCCACCTGCCTATGGACCAGTGTCTTCCTTGTGAGAGGATAGGAACCTCCAGAGTGGGTAGCACCAGTGCCAGGGTGGGGGAAGAATTGGGTCCTTGCTCAGGGAGTCTGTCAAAGGGCCAGGTCCCCTAATTAGGGGTAAAGGGAAAAGGTCGCTTGGCGCGTTCGAGTCCAGAGGGGTCTGGATGTCTGTTCAGGGGACTCTACAGGGGCAGGTGACCCCCCACTGGGGTATTTATCATGAAGAACAGTGAGGGGGGCTTCCAAAGGGAGCTGCCACAAATAAAAGGCCCCACACATGTACCTGTGACCCAAACCATGTGTAGTGAACTCTCCCAGACGCTCTGGCTATGGCCGTGGAAGGTACTCAGCTGTGTTTCCATGACCAGGGACTCTCCCAGCAGGAAGATGAGGAACCACAGGTAGGAGGCAGAGTGCAGCAGGACCGTCAGCACCGGGATCGCTAGCAGGTGGCCCAGCTTGGTGGGGAAGGAGGGAGAGCATGGCTCTCAGGGTCTTGTTCAGGTCTCTCCCTGTCCTGGGAGAACTTCCCGAATGCTCCCCCTTTCACTCACGTACGGAGAATGTACTAAAGATTAAGCCTTACACTTTCTTATCTGTTGTCTCCAACCAACCACAAGGGCAGATATTATTATTTCCATTTTTTCAGATAAGGAACTGAAGATCCCAGAGGTAAAGTAACTTTCTCCCTTGGAAGTCCCACAGGTTCGTCCATCTCAACCGTTAAAAAATAAAAGCATCACCTTCTATTCCAAACTCATGTCTTCTCCTCCTGTGTTCCCATCTTAGAAAACCACCTGGTCACCCAGTCCAGGAACTTTCAAGGCATCTCTACATCCTCTCTCTCACACACACTCTGACAGTCTCCCTCATCCTGCCCCCTCCCCTAATCCATCCTTCACACCACGAGTGGAGAGAGCTTTCTAAAGCACAGAGCTCATGGGGTCGCTCACCTCATTAAAAGCCTGCAGGGGCTTCCATCATTGCTTACAAGGCTCTGTGAGATCTGGCTCCTGCCCACTCGCTACTTGCACTTAGGCTTCAGCAGCACAGAATTCCTTTCAGTTGCTCTAATACTTTACATCCTTCCTCCCCTGGGCCTGCAGACATGCTGTTCCTGCTTCCTGGAAGCCAGCTCTCCTGAGTCCTTACCTGGTTAACAGGGACTGGTCTTGCTCCTCATTATGTTCCCAGCACCAGGCACAATATCTGGCTCACAGCGGGCGCCCAAGGAAGTATTTGTTGAATGAACAAATAAAAATATATGGATCCACAAGGGTTC